AGTTCCTTGATCAAAGTTAAATTCATTTTTTCATACTCTTTTTGTGTTGCAGGTTGAAAATGTGAAATTACTAGATCGCTATACAAATAGGAAGGCAGCAAATGGGACGTTATACCTGACAGCTACCCACCTCATCTATGTAGATGCTTCTGCTGAAGTCAGAAAAGAAACATGGGTATGTGGTGATACCTGGAGTTTGTTTGAACACAAGTATAAAAATTACTTTATATTTCATACTCAAAATGAACAGGTTTGTGAATTCCAAAGCCCCAGTGGTCCTTCATAGCATTGTAATACCAAATGCTTGACGGAAACAGCTGCTTTGGAAGGAAATTAACACAACAGAAATGTGACTTGGTCGAGGTCACTCACTCAATTAGGGTTAGTTCCAGGAACATAAAAAACTTGTCTGGTTTCCTATCTCAACCTCAGTATACCAAGCCACCAAACTTGAATTTACAGCTTTTAGAAGTGCAAAATTAGCACTGAAATTAGCCTATTAAAATGAATTCTGAAGTAAAATGGGAATGAAAAAATATATTGCATGACAGGGTGGAGGGAAAGCAAAGTGAACCGGGTAAACCGAGCTGCACATCAGTCCCTGAAAATAATTTATATACATCTGTGTTTTTTCAATCTTGCTCTTAGTTACCTAGCTTTTGGGTGCACAGCCTGGATGTTTATGATGTTTGTTTGATAAGTATCACAAGTAAACTAATTTTCTACTGCTAGTTAGATGCAGTGAGCATAAGTAGCTGATAGTACTGCAGAAACTTAATATCTGCTTGTACTCCTTGCGATCTTATCGTGCCTTATGAAAAATGATGTTTATTTCTTGTTTTTCAGATTCTGCATCACCATATTGCAACTGTAGAAAAACTGCCTCTGGCCACGGCTGGATATCCACTCCTTATTCACTGCAAGAACTTCCACGTGGCTCACTTTGTTATTGGGCAGGAACGCGACTGTCACGAAGTGTATACCTCACTGCTTAAACTTTCACAACCAGGTATTTAGGACGGGAGTCTGTTTTGCAGATCGTTGAAAACATGAAGCTAGAAGGCTCGTCAGAGCGATAGAGAAAGCTTTGCCTGCCAGAGCGTTGGTTTTGCGGTGTCAGTAGAGGAGGGGGAGGATGTGCAATCAGAATCGGTTTCCACCACCAGAGATGATCTGTATGAGCTGGCTCAGTAAGGAGAGTGCTGCCCTGTGGACCAGGGCGTTTGCTTCCAAACTGAACACAAATCTTTCGTTGCAGTGGGGATGGGGTGGTCTCCCATAAGGAACTTCCGAAGACCTGTGCAAAGTTCATTTGCCCAACTGAGGCTGTATACAGCATCTCGGGCTTTTTTCTTGTAGCACTCATGCTGAGCATCGTATCCCGGACCTGGTTGTTGTCAGTCATTTCTGTGACGGAGCTGTTGGCCGTGCGTAATTCTGCCCTTTCCAGTTGATTCACATGTTCACAGACTTCTGGAATCCCACAAATAAAGCTTTAAATGTTGGAATCTTTCATTTTCTTTCCTGGTAGCATGTTTAGGCTGCTCTTAGTATTTGTCTTCTTTCAGTTGTGAAACCCTGTGCTTCACCCTGGCTGCCCTGACTTGGAGTCACTCTTACGAGTGAAGCAAAACATCCTCAAAAGCTTGTGGTCTCTTCTGGCTTCAGCTTTTTAATCCATCGTGGATGAATCTTCAGGGTCTTTGTTCTTCTTGCAGGACAGCATTCCACTGGGTTTCCTACCTGCCTTCTCTCTATGGTGGCTCCTGGTTCTGGGGTGCTCCTTCCGTCAGTGAACCAGTATTTGCAGTTTGGCGTTATTATAAGGATGCTGTTTGTCATTGCATTTTGTCATTATGTCACTAGTCTAAGGGAAGGAAATCAATAGCAGCAGTCTGCTTCATGCACTATAAATGTTTTTTGCTGAGTTGGATTTTTTTTTTTTTGATTGTTACTAAAGCTTGTGTCTGTTCCCAGCATCTCCCTTGTCCCCTGAGCTTTGGAGTTTTCTTAGTTCTGAAGTTCTAATTCTAATGCTGTATCTGTCAAGTTCCTGGTGTTACATGTAAAAGCTGTCATGTTCTTTCAGTTTTGAAAATTAGAGACTTATGTAGTGTCTTGAAGCGTGGGAGCTGTCACTGCAGGGGATTCCATCAGTTTCTTTGTCTTGTGGTTATTTGTGTAATGTGCTGTAGCTCTTTCTTTTGTTCTATTTATGGATTTTAACAGTTCTCTTTTGCTGTTTAGAAATTTTTGTATGTGTGCTTCCTTCATGCTTTTTTGGCAGAGCGTATAATTATTTATGATTTGCACATGTGTGACTGACAGCTGTGGGTTACCTGGCCGGTCCCCTGGCTGCTTTGTCAGACTCTGGCAGGTTTCACTCTGTCTCTGGAGCGCTTGCTGCCTTGGGAATCAGATGAATGAGTTATTGGTTGGGTTTGCATTTTATGAAGAGAGGGAAGGAAATTGGGATGGTAGAGATGGAGGGAGGAAGAAATTACCATTTGTCGGACACAGCCTGAAGCTTTTGTTGGGCTGCCAATAATATTCAAGACATCTATCAGGTTTTCTGTGCGGCTCAGAACTCACTGTTGAACGATGAACTCACAGGTGTGCAAGAGCTGTTGTAGGAACTCTTCACAGAAAATATACCTTTCAATATAAGTTTTAATTTCTGGATTCATTCTTACGATATCAATCTTGACTAATATGCCTATTATAGTGAATTCAGTAGGAAATCACTTGTTTGGGGAAAAATTACTACTTGGAAGTTTTAGTTAATTCTAACAAAGTGTTTTAGCGTGTCTCCCTGCACGTGGGAACTGAGTATTGGAAGTTGAGGATTTCAGTGTGAATTGTCGACACTACCCAGATGAAAACCTCTAAATACGAGGTTGAGAAATTTTAAATACCTGTAGTCTTCTCTGTAGTAGGCTTTTTTTTTTTTAAAGAGTGAGAATCAGTCTTAAGTTTGCTTAGATTAGTGAAGTACGCAAAGTGATAAAGGAAGACTTCACTTTGAGGAAGCAGAAGCATAAGGAAAACATAGACAGCTGTGCAGTACAGTGGCATAGCCCTTTGGCTTCTTCAGTAAATGATTTCCAACTCTCCTGATCTTTCTTGACTGAATATTTTTTTCCGTCCTTGGGTCATTTGTGGTACACTTGCACGGTGTGCTTACCCAAAAGCTGGCCTTTAGGAAGAAGCGTTGACCTCTCTGTCTTGGTATCTCTCTCTAACTAGGTAATTTTTTTTTCTTTCTTCTCCCAGTGAAACCTGAAGAGCTTTATGCTTTCTCTTACAATCCTAAAATGTCTAAAGAGAACCGGGAGATTGGTTGGAAGCTGATTGATTTAAAAGTAGATTATCAACGTATGGGAATTCCAAATGACTACTGGGAAATAACGGATCTTAATAAAGACTATGAGGTAATTCTCACCCAAAGTATCCGTTTGCTGCAGTGTCTCTTCTTTGTTATTAATGACATACAGCAGCCCTTCTACTCTGCGTAAGCGATGCCTCTGCAGAGGAATGAGCTCAGTTGGTTTTAATCGAAGCAGCATCATCTTGAGCTGAAGTTGTGGATAGTGATGCTGTGGAAGAACGGAACAGAGCTGCGCAGTCACCTTGGTCTGCTTTGATCCCCCTGGCAAAGTACCAGATACTTGTTTTTCTAGAGAAATGTCAAACCATCTGTTGCGAAAAACCTGAAGGACCCTTTGCTGCTTTTGATATTTTCAAACCCTGTCCCACCAGGCTGGAGACAGATGTGTAGAAGGGAAATAAATGGCAGCAGTTTGGCTTGGTGGGGAGCGAAGCAGAGTGGAAAGGGACTCTGAGGAAGGAAGAAACAGTAACTGAAAACAAACATTTCTTTTCTTGCTTGGTTGGATCTTCTGCTAAACAAGGGCTCTCAGCCATTTCAGTACTAACTGGCTGCTGCTGTTCTTTTCTTCTCTTTCGCCCCTGTAAGGCCAGATTGGATCTAAACAACATTAAATGAAAGTATTTTTCAGGAAGCTTACTCAAACTCCTGCTTCATATTATTTCCCTTCTTATTTCTTCTGATGTTGTGTACAGTCAGGCCTTTCTGTCTAAAAGACAAAGCAAACAACTCAGAGGAAGATAACAGTATATTAGGTCTTGAATTAATTCCCCCACTAGCTTTCTTTACTGTTATGCTTTGGGTTGAAGAAATATAAGCCTGCGCTGGCAGAAGTGAGCGGTAATTTTAAATGACTGTCTTTGGATGCCTGAATTGAGATATGACGTGAGAGGTGCTTTTTCCATTAGTTGATTAGGGCATCTACATAATAATAAACATTATTAACCATCTTGAAGTTTTACTGGCTGATATGTAACTGAAGTGCCAGTGCTTTATAATTTCCTCACAGTTTCTGGGCTTATATTTTAAAATTGTCAAGCCTGAGGTAAATCCAGACTTGGAGAATAGCTTCTCTGTGAAGTATGTGCTGAAAAGACTATACTTTTGTGAGGAAAAAGGAGGATAAAGCTGGTCTCTGAGGATGCTACCTGATTGCTGGAAGCTCATTTCAAGTTGAACAAGATTTAGAGGCAACTTTTTTAATAAGGTTGTTCTTCATTTCTCTTTTTGTGAAAAATTAGAGACTTTAATGAAATTTAGGGATTTAAAGAACTTCCTGCTGTTGTGTACTGTGCAGTCCATTTTTTTTCGGTTCAGTTGCAAAATTGATTGCTTCCTTCAGCACACTGTTTTATTTTGCTCCTGTTCCTGTGTTGTCTTTCTAAATGCATCTTAATGGCTTGAAACTTTAGCTGTTGACCACGTTAGATACACTGTGGCAAAGTCTATTCCTGTTTATAAATGCTGGAACATAAGCTAAAGATGAATTTTTCATGACTTTTGAATTGCTAAGTAGTAATATCTGGATTTTTTTTTTTCTTTCTTTCTTCTCACTTAGGTTTGCAACACATATCCTCCAGAAATAGTGGTGCCACGAGCTGCTAATAAGGCAGTGGTGGTCGGAAGTTCAAGGTTCAGAAGCAGAGGGCGGATTCCGGTGCTTTCGTACTTATATAAAGAAAACAATGTTAGTTGTTCAGTGCCTGCTGTCTTTGTGGGGAGCTAGGGGTTCCTCTTCTTGTCCAGTACCCTTTTAGGGAAAGAAGAGAATGAGATCATTATTAGGGATATTAACTTAATGCTTGAGAACTGTGCTTCTCTTAACAGCTTTAATATGGGTTTGTTCTGAGTCGCAGAGTAAGCTAGTTAAAGACAAACACTTGGGATGCATCCAGAGCTGTGCAAGAAGCAAAAACGTTCCAAGCTTCCTGTCTGCACTTTTTTAAATCAGCTTTCAGCAATGCCTTGTTATGTGGGGTTTTTTTTAATCTACTCTTTATCTATATTGAATAATGTTTTAACAAGATTTTCATAGTGTTGTAGAGGAGGAGACACCCTGAAATAAATCCCCACTAGCTCAGAATAACTGGAGGTTTAAGGTTGGTTTTTTTTTTTCCCCACTGAAGACCAGAATGTAAATTTTTAACTTTGCTGTCTCAGCAGTGTTTGAGATGCAGATGTTAGGAAAAATGCTGTCACAGTCAAATTGTTGTTTTCCTGAGGAAGCGTGCCTTGACCTGGGCAATGCTTTGGAGTTGTGCTGGCAACTACTGACATTTCCCTAGAGCATACTCAGTGCAGTTCTGAGCATGGAATGGTCACAGCTGATAAGCAAAGTTGTGGAAAAAAATGGGTTGGACGATAGAAACAAGCAGAAAACATGAGAAATGGTAACATTTGGGATAGTGATCATCAGGCAGAGCGTAGTGGGTTTGAGAACATAGCAACAGGGCTCCTTAGCCTCAGTGCTCTCTTAAGATTCCCAAACTTCTAGCTTTGAGACATATTCCAGTAGTATTTCTGTATGTCCATTCAAGTAGCAGTTTTGCAGTGAGACAGAGAAGAGGACCCTTAAAACCAACACACTAGTGTTCTTTGGGGTGATGGAGCAGAGGCAGTCTGAAGGGAGAACAATGCAAGCTGTGGTGTGTTGCAGGCGGCCATATGTCGGTGTAGCCAGCCGCTCTCCGGGTTCAGCGCGCGCTGTCTGGAGGATGAACAAATGCTGCAGGCCATCAGAGAAGCCAACCCTGGGAGCCACTTCATGTATGTTGTAGACACAAGGCCAAAGGTATCTTCATGGGGTTTGTGGCTGCTTTTAAGTTCTGAGTTAGTAGTGTTGTTTCCAGTTTCTTCTTTCACACCTTTGCTAATGCTTTCTTACGCTGCGTTAGGTGAAATTGTGTCAGTCCCGAATCAGGAATTCAGTGACAGACTCCTGGTTCGGTGTCTCAGTGTGACGAATGATTGTGCATAATAAAACTGGGATGTTAAGTGCTGTTCAGAGTATTTGCACCCCTCAAGTATTCTGGGCTGAGGTTTGTGCTCAGGATGACCTGAAGCAACTGGTGGTCTTGAAGCTGCCTGAGCCAGTGAAGCGTTTTCCCGCAGAGAGCAAGGTCCTCAGTCTGTTGAGTTGGAGAGAAGCCTTAGGATTCTGTTCCATGAGGCTGAAGTGCTTCTGTCAGCAGGCCTGGGAAGAAGTGGGGCTCTATGGGGTCTGATACCAACTGAGAGAAACAATTCCTCCATTTTTTTTTGTCTTTGTAAAAATAGCGCTAATGTTCTTATGATGTGCAGCTTGGAGTTTAATACAGTTCAGCTCCTCGGGTCCATAACCACTATTTGGGGCCAGAGCTTTGCTGCTGAAGTGTTTATGTAAAAGGGTATTGAAGAAACATTTGCAAAATGGAATCTCTAGTGACTGTTTTCTAGAGGAACTGAGTAGCTTGTAGACATATTGATTGGGAGTGTTGGTATAAGCGAATTAGAGCACAAGGATTTTCATAGTACACAGTTATTTAAATAAAAAGATTTGGAAGTGCTCTGATTATTTTAAAATTGAGCTTTCTGAGAACCTGCTTCACTGCTCAGATATTGCAGTTATTTACTAAAAACTACAGATTTCGTTAAACTATGGCAAGGGCAAGAAGGAAAAAGTCTTTTGGGGAAAATGGGGAATGTTTCACCTGTTGTTCCAAGATGTATTTTGGCTTTTTGTAGTATGACATTTCCTAGAGATAAACATACATAACATTACAGAATAGGTTATAGCAATCACTGTGTGTTCTTTTGGTACAGGCAGCCTCCAGTATCAGATGTTCCACTGAAATCTATCGTTGATGGCAATTTTGTTCTGAACTATTTGGTGAAAAAGGGGAAACTTAAATTGGTCACATTTCTCCTTCTAACACAATGTGTCTTACTCTGAATGGTAGAACTGAAGCGTTGGGGATATTTAATTGTTGTAAAGGTGTATGAACTGTATATGGCTGTTCCTTCCCTCCTCTCTATGGAGGCAAATCACTCCTCTTCCCAAATCAGTATGTGGGGGGGTTCAGGTCCTCTTTTCTTTTCTTTTTTGGTCACTGCTAAAGATTTTCTGGTAGCTCTTGAACTGTTTTGGGTAATTGTTAGAGCACCTGGCTTCTTTTCTGCTGCTTTTCTGCAGTTCCAGTTGGTTGCTGTATTCTTTCTGCTCAACTTTCATATTTCTATGTTTCCCTCAGGTGGCTTTATTTCATCTGTGCATGTATGTCTGTGAAAAGCTTTGGAATTCTCTTACTATTTCTATACCACCATGTATGTATGTTACTCGTAAAAATGGCTTTCCTAGTTTTACTTTCTTCTCCAGTCTGAATCTTTTGACGTAGCTTCACAGTTACGGCAGACTCAGTGTCTCTGCCTGTTTTGATGACAGCAGTATTCTGAAATTGGGCATGGCTTTGGTACTGCCTACCCTAAGAAATTCTATCCAGGCTCCTAATGAGTTTCTGCATATGACTAATGGACTGGATACACTGGCATAATTCTAGGGAAACAGCTGGAAGTCATGTCTGGGAGGTGGGGAAGTATGTCTGAGTAACAGCTTTGTTCAGTATATTTTCTGGGAGATTTTAAAAAAAGGAGGACTTGCAAAACAGACTCATTTATTTCTGCCTGTGGTTTGTTGTAATTTTTTCTCTTTCTCTTCTATCCTGTTCCTCTTCCCTTGAATTTGACAGTTAAATGCCATGGCCAACCGAGCTGCTGGGAAGGGTTATGAGAATGAAGATAACTATGATAATATTCGCTTTAAATTTATTGGCATAGAAAACATCCATGTGATGCGGAGCAGCTTGCAGAAACTTCTGGAAGGTAGGTACGGTCTGTGCAAGTGGCCAGTCAGCTGCTTTTGGACAGAACCTTTTGCTGAATATATAAATCCTCCATGCACAAGAGGCAGAATAAATACTTATTTGCTCCCATATTCTCCTTCGACAGTGATAAAATCTCTCTCTTTGGTGCTTACGGACTACCGAACTTTATTACTCTGGGTATTTTCTATGCTGGGTTTCAGTATAGCAGCTGAGTTGCCTTCAGGGTTAGACATGTTATTTCTCTCTCTAAATTAGAACTCTCCTTTCTTCAAATCTTTGTGATGGTGGCTGCATGTTAGTGGCTGTTAGATGTGTGTGCGATGGTGATTTATGGTGAAGTAACAGATCAATAAACACTTTATTGGAAAAAGCTCAGATGAAAAAATAATGAGTTATCATTTAAAAAAAAGAGGAGAAGGATCTTTTCAGACCCTCAAGTTCTCTTATAACTAAAAATTGCTGGTTTGTGTATTTAAGTATGCAACCGGTAGTTTCTGTGTCCTTTAGACAGGATATTGCTGGCGACAATTAAAAAGTGTGGAAGTGTTAGCTTTTAGGATCTACCAAGCTCTGTTGCTGTGAGGAGATAATGAGGAGGTGGGAAAAAGAAACAGATGTTGTTAACGGAGTGTCAGCTAATTCCTTTGTTTGTGTTCTTAGTGTGTGAAATGAAGTCCCCCTCAATGAGTGACTTCCTCACTGGGCTGGAGAACTCCGGCTGGCTACGGCACATTAAGGCTGTGATGGATGCAGGTGTCTTTCTTGCCAAGGTAAAACTGTGCTCCAACCTGCAGGTGAATTTAAAAAAGTATGTACTTGTCTGTTAGGGACTGCTCTGAGGCTGTGAGGTGGTCTCTGGAGAGAAGGTGGGAACACCCCGCTGTTCAGATTGGCCTCAGCTCTAAAAACAAGCCTGCGGTTGGAGAACTGGAGTGGGTTACTCTCCTAGACGCTTGCTGTGACTAAACGAAATGCCACAGGGGTTAAGAGATTGTCCTGTTCACTGTATTTTAACCAGCAGTTAGCTAGGCTTTGTTAGAACTCATTTGAAACAAATAAAATCACAGAATATGAATAAATGACCTTTATAAACATCTCTGTATAGTAGTGCAAACAGCTCGTAACCTTGTGCTCGTTAGTTATTGAACTGCTGTGCTTTAAATGCAGGATTGTTTAGAGCAGGTTATTTTCTCCTGTGAGGTGCGGGGACTCTAATTTTGATTATTCAGTGCAGTCCTGATTTCTGCAGAGCTTGTGGCTTTGCAGGTCAGGCAAAAGGAGAAAAGTCACGAAGGCACATGGCTCTTAGTAAAGGGCATGCGAGCAGCACGGGGCAAGAGTAGTGACTTTCTGTAAATGTTGTCTTTTCTGTCAAAATATTCCTGTGTTGCAAGCAAGAAGCTCTTCTGTGTGTCTCTTCTGCCACCGGTCCAAGGGGGAGAAAGCGATCCATATGGGAGGAGGTTGGGATGAGTTCTTCTGATTTTTTCTGAGAAGTTCCTAGTCCCCATGTGTCCAATTCTTATTTACTCATCTACCAAGTTTCTCCTCGGAGGAGGGGACTGAGAATTCTTGGCCTTTCAGAAGACTGAGCATTTTGAGATCAGAGGGGCTTTGTTTCTCGACAGCCTGTGCTGCTGACAAGGCGTGCTGCAGCGGTTTATTCGAGTTGGGCTTTCCTGTGGGTTGATGGCTCTGTGCCCAGAAATGGTGCATTTCCATGGTCCAGATGAGAAATGACAAATTTTCTTGGGTTTTAGGCCAGTCAGATCAATGCAGATGAAAGGATAATATTTAATTACAGTAACTGACCTAGAAATCTGCTAAACTGTTCTGTCTGCTCTCTCCTTTCCAGGCTGTGAAAGATGAAAAAGCTAGTGTGCTAGTGCACTGCTCCGATGGGTGGGATCGCACGGCGCAGGTCTGCTCCCTGGCTAGCCTCCTCTTAGATCCCTTTTATAGGACTTTTAAAGGCTTCATGGTAAGAACACAAATGTTGGAATTTCAAAAATAAAAAACGCTTCCTGGATTGGAAATGTAAACAGGCCCTAATTAAATGCTTTAGGCCATTTCCTGGAGCAAACAGTAGATGACCTATATAAAACCTTTGATTCTATAAACAAGCTTTAATTGCTCTGAACAGCATGGGCACAAAATGGCAGCGGTTGATTTACAGTTCCCAAATCTTTGTTTCCTTGAATGTCCGCATGAGAGCCACTAATGAGACATTTCAACAAGAGATCACTGAGCAAAGGATGCAACTCTGGCAGCACTCCACACAAAAGTGGTGAAGGAGCTTGTCATTGAAGACTTACAGTGGATGGCCTCTTATCTGCTAGGCTTTAAAATTGGGTGAACTCATTCTTGTGCACAGGGCAGCATGTGCAGCATGTCATCTGTGTATCATGTAAAATCTGTGCATCATTTAAGACCTTTTTTAAAGCCATTACACATGAATTTGTCTGTCTGCTTCTGCTGCAGGCTTCTTATTTGAAGCCATCACTCAATAAGTATAGTGAGATGTGTGATGTTATCTTTCCCTTAATCTCATTTTATTAAATACCTGAAAGACAGGCTGCTGCTCTTTCTCAGCATTCCTTAAAAGAAACCCTGAGATCAGAACTATGGAAATTTTGCCTCCTCCGTTGCGTTGCACTGCTAGGGCTGTTTCCTTGCATTCTGTGCTATGTTTATTATTATTTTTTTGCTTCTGGATTATACTGCAATCTTTGGACAGTTAAAATTACATCAGAGTGTGAAACATCTGCCTGGGATTTGGTTGTGCTCTGCACAATTCTGTATGAACTAAGGAACATGATTTTGATTAGGAACAGGAGCAGTAACTGAAACAAATGGGTTGCCTGTCCTCTGAGCAGATGGTTTGTGTGCACAAATCCTATGTCAGTGGTTAGTCCTAAAGGAGCGCACCTGAAGTGTAAAGAATGGAAACATTTCAAAAGCAATATAACTTAAGTTTTCAAAGAAGTCTGAGAATTTCTGCCTTCCTTTTGTTCTTCAAGTCTCTGGATGATGGTATCAGGAGTTGATGTTTAAATAAGATCCAGCAAGGCAAGTACTGATGGATTCAGTGTCAGTCATCTGGTTCCTTAGGACATGTTTTCAAGGAGAATACTGCTTCTTTGTCACTTTCTTACATATAGCACAGGCATTCTCAAATAGCCATGTAGTTCTTCTGATTTTAGCCTGAGCTCCTCACTACACAGGTGTACTTCTTATATTCCTATTTGTGTGTTAAACATTTGTTGAATTCCAGTTACTGCTTCGTTTTGCTGAGTATCGTGATATTCTTTTCCAAATTAAACAGTACATAGTGTAGTATTATGCTGTTGATTCTTTTAACTCACTGTGTTTATGTATTATGATTTTAACAATCTAGAAACTCCCTCAAAATAATGCTAGACTTGCTTGAAATGACTTCTGATTCCAGCGATGACTTTGTACGGGTAACTGTGGATAAGTGATCTATAAATCACTGTTGTAACTACTTTCATTGGCTTCTCTGGATGTACTCAGAACAGTAGGGTCAGCAGGTAGCATTGGCTCTAAGCTTTTTAGAGTTTACATCAAAGGCTTCACTTTGCATTTTCTAAACAAAATAATGCTCTTTTTTTAACCTCTGTTTTGAAACTGAAGGTTCTGATAGAGAAGGAGTGGATTGCAATGGGCCACAAGTTCTCACACAGGTAAGAGCAGAGTTGTCACCTTGAGTGTAGCGCCTGGGTGAAGGCTTGGCTGGGAAACTAATACAGTGTGTTCAGGTTCCTGTACTCCCGTGGAAAATTTAAAGGAAAAGACAAGACAGAGGAGAGAAGATTTGGAAAACACTGGAGTTGGTGACATAAAGCCAATATCTGCTGGTGTTGGTATTTAATTTTGTTTTTTATTATTACTTTACAAAATCATACAGTCTTGAACAAATTGTTTTAGTTGAGTGTTTTCCTACCTGTAAAACCACATTCCTGTTATATGAGAAGTGCTAATGGTCTGGGAAGACACGTTAATTCTACAATCAGCTACTGGAAGAAAATCTCAGCTAATGTTTTTCGGGACTTTTACCCAGTTCAAAGCATAAACTCGATCCCAATGTAATGCTAAAACCCAATTTGACCTGCATTCCCTAGGCAGATTAAAAATGCTGTCCTTCCTGTAGTTGATAGGCTGCTTCTAGTAGGGATATTACCTTGAATCAGTACTTGTTACATTTACTGTACAGAAATTGGAAACAGAGATGGTCCAAAAGAATGAGGAGGGAAGGGACTGGTCTGTTCAGTGATATTAGCTTGTTAAAAGTTGAAGCTTTGTTCTCAATGTGAAACTGATTCCTGTTTTTAGCAATAAAACAAATCTGTTTCCTTAAAGCGTATCTGGGGAAAATAAGCAATATGCACACCCTTGTACTGGTGTACAAGAAGAAGCAGTCAAAGACAGGCTGCTGTTTGGTCATGATGGCAGACAGACAGAATCCCACCAATGTCAACTTTTTCCCCCCAATTAAGGGCTAGCATTAGTTTTGTATATTGAAGCAAGCGATGCTTCTTTGGAGAATATCGCAATTTTCCCTGGTGTTAACACCATAGCATAGGCTCAAAGATTCCTATTTCACCAGTATTTCTTGCAATGCTTGCAAGTCTGTTATGTGGGCTCTTCCATTGCTAATTTTACTTTAGAGAAAGGGACATCACACAATTCTCTACTTGGTACACTTGGAGAAGAAGTAGTGATGAGGATGGCACACCTTAGCATACAGTTGCTGTAAGATAAACCACGTAGGGTTTTTTCTGACTCTGTAGAATAATTTCTTGTAGTAAAGAAAACTTCCCAGTTGTTTAATGGTGAGGGGATTCTTTTTTTGTTGGGTGACACAAGATTTAATGCTGTTTTGTTTGCATCTCTAGGTGTGGCCATTTGTGTGGTGACCCCAAAGAAGTATCCCCCGTCTTCACGCAGTTCGCTGAATGTGTCTGGCAGCTGATGCAGCAGTTCCCGTGCGCGTTTGAGTTTAACGAGCGGTTCCTTCTTGAAATCCATGACCATGTTTACTCTTGCCAGTTTGGCAACTTCCTCGGGACCTGTCATAAGGAGCGTGAAGATCTGAAGTGAGTTGGCAGTTTATAGAGCCAACAGTCTAGAGTCACTTTAAATGTCAGAAGAAGGGAAAGTTGTGTGTGTTGGTGTGTTTTTAATGTGGCTGTAGACTGGTTAAGGGTAACCTTGTCTTGGTAGGTGCTTATATTTTACAGTGTAAAAAAAGTATTATAGATTAAAACATGACTTTGAGGATATAATTAATTTGGACCACAGCAATAACTTGCATATACCCCTTTTGGACTGGATATTTTAAACAATTATATAGTCCTCAGTGATGTACCTTGTGTTATGAAATTAATCAGACAGTGAGAACTATTTTTACACACTTACTCTGATTCTGCTCAGAACTCTAGCATTATTGATCCACTCGATTCTTTTATTTTTAGTGATTAGCTGTTATTTGTAATTGACAGAATCTTTGAGAAGACCCATTCTCTGTGGCCTTTCCTCTTACAGAAGAAGCAGGAATTGAGAAATCCTTTGTACAGAGGATTCACAGCTTACAAAGAGCTCCAACCAAACACACTACCTTTCAGTTTCCAGTAAGTTGCTCATTTAAGACGGAGAAGAAGGGGGGGGGGCTTTCCTTTCATGGTGATGTAGATTGGTAACTCAGGTTTAATAAAATACATTTTTACTGATGAGCATGGTTTGTTTTACCTTTCCCCTCCTTTTTTCATCCATAAACTGAGAGTAGTAGTGCGCAGGTAGTTGCAAAATAAGTGCAGGTACTGTAATTTAAAATAAAATTATTTTTCTTTGGTGTTGAGAGAGGGTGGGGAAAGGCAAGGAAAAGAACTTCAGATGTGTAGACAGACCCCCCCACACACACCCTGACTGCTTGCTCTGTCGAATTTACACAATAGGGTAGGCAATTGTTAAAGAAAGTTCCTCCTTTTCTCCTTTTTAATATATATTAAGGAAGTTTTTCAAGCAGGAATTTTGGTGCCCCATCACACCCAGGCTTATGCAGCCGGGGTGGTTTTCACAAGAGGGACTTCTTGTTGCTGTGTCTATTTGCCTGCCCGGGGTGTTACAGCTGGAGTGGTTCCTTTTGTTTAGTTTCTGGCTCACTCCTGTTCCCGGCTGAGACAGAGGGGGATGCAGATGTGGTTTTAAGTGCTGTGTGTGGTTACTGGCAGGCAAAGGGGTTTAATAAAGGGAGGGAGGTAGGGTAAAGTGAGGACTTGAGGCTTGGGCAGTTCACCTTCCTGTAAGCCTGCTATAGAGAAAAGTGTATTTTCATCTTATGCCGATAGCTACTGACAGTGGATGGGAATCATAAGGCAAAGGTACTTAAGTCCTTAGAAGTTTTTTTTGAGCTTTACAAAAATTTGCCCGTTGATACTGAATTTTATAATCCAAGGCTTTGGCAGTTTTTTAAAATCAGTTACTAATTTCAATTTATTGAAATTTCTCTGAAACACTATCTGGTTTGTTGGCCGGTAGTGTATGATTAGCCACCTAATTCTCTTTTCTTGCCCTGTTCTTGAGGTTTTGGTGTGGGATGTATAATCGCTTTGACAAAGGAATGCATCCAAAACAGTGTGTGTTGGATCATCTGCTAGGCTGCATGAGCCAGAAGGTGAAACTGGAGGACAATGCATCTGAATTGGAAAATGTGAGTCCCGAATCTTAATAATATTTAAAATCACGTGATGGTTTTGGCAAATATAACTGGGTTTGAACATGGGCACTGACCAATTGTTTCAGCATTCAGGCAGAGCTGGGCAGAATGAGGGGTTAAATGACATTGCTGTAATAAATAGGGTTTTATTACTCAAAATCCTTATCTGATAGGTAGAAGCTGTGTTTGGGCAACTTCTCTTGCAGGTTCGTGATGTTCTAATTCTGTAAAGAAACAGGTGTTAAAAGAACATCTGGGTTTCAACTCCACTCGCAACAAACTGTAGGGGAGGGGGAGAGAAGAAGAGAGCAGGCCTGCAAGTACGCCTGCTTGCAATATCCTTCCTATGGGTATTTAAAAAAAAACAAACCACAAACAAAACAAAAAACCCTAAAAATACAGTAGTGGGAGAGTCATCCAAAAACACATCGGTGGGAAGACCTCTCTGTCCTTGGCTAGGTTAATGTGAATGCTGAAAACTTTTAGTTTTATTAATTAAACAATGCCATTTGTATCAAACATGTGAGGATCTACGACAGTGTACTTCAATGCTGGATTACAGAGCTGAAAAAGAGGCACTGACACAGAGCTTTGCTGTTGACAGTTGTTTTTTATATATCTCTGCCATCTGGGAATAATAGCTTTCATTTTTTTTTTTTAATGTCTTTTTATTTGTGTAGAAACTTCCCTTCCTTGATGGTTCTTTGCCCAGTGAAGCTTGCTCCTTAGCTAAAATAGGACGTGCTGCTTCAAAAACACCGATGCTCAACACTCCTCAGGATTATGAAGGAGAACCACCTCCTGTGCTGAGCAACGGTGCCGGAGTGGGGGATATAGATGGTATGTCCGATGTGGACCAAAAGCACAGAGAGAACCTGTCTCATCACCAGGACCTCCACGATCTTAACAACACCATTGACGTTTTAGACTCCAAAGCCAAGGATGGAACGCCGCAGCACCACTGATGGGCTCTGAGAACTGTTCGATGAACCAGGCGCTGGCGGTGCTGAGGCGTAAGGGAGCTGTGCTCCCGCGAGGGTGGAGACCCCCAAACCATCTACAGCTGAGTGTGGGGACGTGTGTTTGCAGGGAGCTGTGCTCGCTGGAGAGAAAACGGTCTGCGTTTGGTTTGGTTCGCGTCATTTTGCGGCTCAATTGATGAAGGTGCAAACAGAGCTGCCCAGAAGGCTACCTTGAGTTAGCAGAAACCTTATTTTTCAGTGGAAACACAATGTGTGTTGAAGGTTTATGACTGCCTGCCAGTGCTGGCATTTCAAGCTGAAAGAAATCTTGGCCAACTAACGTGGAGCATAGGAGTTATGCAGTGTTTATAACTGGAGTAGGAGAGATGCAATCCGTTTATTCTCAGTGGTGGTGCAAGGTCATCTTAAAATGACAAAAAAATTTCAGTTCATCTTAAAATGAAAGCAAAACCCCCTTTTCTTAGCTGTGAATGAATCTCTGCATGGACCCTCTCCTTGTGGCAGAACTGATCCATGTTTTGTTTCCTATGCATATTTGTTAAACAAAAAAGAACTCCCCTGTGCCTTTTTATGGAGACCGGTTTAATGTCCAGCCACGCAATGTACTGTTTTTATTATTGTAGTGTAGGGTGTAGTATTTGGTCGTCTTTGTAGTCAGTATTTAAAAAAAAAAAAAAAAATTTTTATCTTCTGCTGGCTTCTCCAGGATTTTTGCTGATTCCCTGAGTTTAGTAACTTCTTTCTAAGCCAACCTTTCAAAGAATAAGCTGTTACAGACCTCATTTACTGATGAGTAAGAGTGCAGCAAGCCACAAAGACAGCCTGTAACACATTAACTTTTTGCAGACAGAGGATTAGAAATGAGAAAAGACAGGAAAAAATTTATATGGAATTTTTCTCTCTTCTTTTATGATCTTGGTTAAATTGAAGCAAGAGAGTAACTCTTGGTTCTGAGCTGAACTTGACCTGCTTTCCTCCCATCCATCCATGAGACGGTAATCCCAGATGAGGTGTGTTCCAGCATTGAAATGGGGCCTGAAATGATTACTTCACATCCCATGCTGAGCGATGGTAGTGAATGTTATCTTGGATGTTCAAATTACCTGAACCTTAGATGTTTTGTATGTTCTGTCAAGATGTGGGGAGATGAACAATATTTCTCATGGCAATGAACTTTGCTGGTGACGAACCGTAAACTGGGATGTGGCCCCGTATTGGATCAAGAAGTGGACGCCTTGGCTCATGGCTGTGGCTGCAGCTTGGAGTCCCTCCAGTGCTCCTTAACACTGCTTGGTTTCTTAAAACTGCAACAACCTTGGCTGGAGATACTAGTTCAGAGTTGGCAGGTTTAAAACAGAGGCATATATTCCATTTATGCAGAAGTCCTGTGAAGAAACAAGAGCTTGTCTTCCCAGGGAGGTGGATGGCCCAGGAAAGCTGTTCCACAGTTGCTGTTCTGGACAAGCTTCTGTAGCTTCACTGCACAGAGAGTCCCTTTGTGCAGCTTCATTCATGATGCTTTTCTGCTTTCATTTGGATCCTGTTTAAATTAGATGCTGTCATAAGGTCTTAAAAATCATGTTTTCTCTTTTAGAAAATTTTGCAACAAACTGAAAATATTTTCTAAGTTAGCCTTCCCAATCTACAACAAAAAGTAGAAGTATTCCATTATAGCATCGTAAAATGCAATAGCCATTGCTCATATGCTTATAACCTCTGGTGAAATGGCTAGGTTAGTTTCAGTGGTCAAGACAGAGCAGAAAAGAAAAAAAAAAAAACACCACTCCCGAGTGTCTCACTTTGGGTAAGAAAAGATATCTTTTATTAAGCATATAGAAAGACCCAAGGAAAAAGGGCATTAGCTTAGAACATAGTTTCTTCAATGCCTCGAATGGCAGAGAGAAACTTTTTTAAATGTTGCAAGTTTTTCAATCTTAAAGCAAGTAATATAGTTGTTTTCAAGGTAGGAGTGAGAAAACTACCATTTGCAATTGATTTAAAAACTAAGCACATAAAATAATGAACCAGATATGCTTAAGCAGAAGATGTTCGAAATTTGTTGAGGGTGCATACCAAAAATAACAGTTCATACAACAGCTATATATTTTATTTTGAAAGATGTGCATTTCTGAATGCATCTTTCCTTAATCTGAAGATGAGTAACTGCTGTTGAGTCTCTTTGCTCCTAAAGAGAGATCTGCTGACCTCCTAATGTGAAGTTAGATGGTCTACGGGCCTTTTAAATTAGCTGTATCCTTGTACTCCTGAAGTGAAGAGATGGCACCCCAAGTCTTAATCTGGCTGCTCTAGATACCCAGGGTTCAGAATCTGCTGTAGCTTTCCACTGCCGGGTGCTGGAGAGGTTTCATATGGACTGAGAGATCAACCCTGTCTTTCCTTTCTAGGTGGTAGAAGAGTGTAGTGGATAGTATGCATGGCTTCTTAGAGAACTCTCAAAAGGTAAAGGAGACCAAGACAGGCACTTTTTAGGACCAGTTATTCGAGGTGTTATCAGTTCTTTTAATGTGTTCTCTAGTGAAAATCAGAGATACAGAATTGTAGAGAGTTTTGACTGACTACTGAAGGATTTAGACATACCATTGGTTAATCTTTGTATAAAAACGTTTTGCAGAAGGTTTCTGTAAATGTTTACACAATGCCTTGACTTTTGAATTACCTTGAAAAAAGTGTAACAGTCTTTGCTTATTCCTGAAAACGTCATGCTGACATCTCCACAAATCCTTCTTGACTACAATATGACTACAGGTGCATATAACCGTGAAAAGATTACTTCATACACTGAAAGTATTAGTAAGCTTTTAGTAATCTTGCTGCTTTTGACTTCTGTAAAAAAACAGTGGATGATTTTATACTTTGAAATGCAAAACCTAGCCAGAAAAAAAGGTAATGGTCTGTCTTTTTAAACCTCTTGGATTTCATGTCGACAGACTCAGTCAGAGTCTGCAACATACTAAAAATCATTCGTGCTGGTGCTGTAAACGTACAGAGCTGGAAAAGATTCCAGGCTTTCCTGACTTTCCATGAGATTATGTCTTTGAAAATTGATTAGCTAGAAGCTTTTTAGTTTTGTTAGTAACTCCTGTGCATTTCAAGACCAAAAAGGAAAAGCTGTTCAGAGCGCTGCGGCGCGTCCTCGGGTCTCTGGTCAGCTAGGATGGGCTTCCCAGAGCCTTGCCGAAAGCCTGCGCTCCCTCCTTACGGAACGCCCTGCTGACAGCCGGGAGTGACCTGATACGTTCCCTGAGAGTATTCCAGGAAATCTAAAGCTGTTACGTAGGGATCTTCTTAGGTGAGCACTGTGTAGGTGAAAAGTTACTATAACTTATTTATTCCTCCTGGCACATCCGTGACCTGCACAGTCACAAATGCTGTTCTGTATTTGGAGCTGTTAACAGTGCAGCTTGCTGCTTTCCACTTGGATTCCTCTGACTGGGAAAACTGGGAAGGAGGAGGGATCCTGTTTGCTGCAGATGGGCACTGTTTATGTTACTCTTCCTTTTCTGGAGCACCTCTTGCTTTACCAAGATACCCCATGGGATCATTGTTTCCTGGCTGTACGTAGTAGAGCCTTGCAGTGGGCAGGTGCTTATCATGTTCTGCGTTAAAGCTGGTGCTTTGAAGCAGAAGAGGGACTCGTGTAGCTTTATTTCTTGGTTGAAATGTCTTAATGTGAACTTCCCAGTGCTGGATTCTTAAGTTGTATTTTGTTTCGCAGTTGTCACCTGCAGTAGAGAAAATCCAATTGGTGCTGTTTGTGTTGCAGAAAAAAAAGGGAGTCATTGTTTTGCCCATGGATGTTGTAGTTCGCAGTTGGCCCTCTTTCATGGGAGAGAAAAAAAGGTTTGTTAAAGCTTGTAGGTATAATATACTCCTAGCTGCGTATTCTGCTCCTGCTCTTAGTGAATGCCTCTCGTTTAAGTGCTTAGAAGAAAAACCCACCTGCTATCTAGGTGCTCACCGGTACCCTGGCTAGGATGGAGAAGGAGACTCACTTGTAGGTACCTGGCAAGCTTCAGATTGCTTCAGTAAGCTGCTGGGGTCCTGGCGAGAGAGATCTGCTGGGAGCTGAAGGTGCACAGAGCTTCCTTCTTGGGTTACCGGTGGAAATCTCATTGTTGAAGCATCCCGGGGTGTTGGTTCCATCCGGTTTGGAGATGGTGAGCCCCAGTAGGGGCTCAGAAAGCACCCTTGCTTCTCACAAAGCTGTAGCACCTGCAGGGACACCGTTTAAAGGAGCTCTTGGGCCAGGTGCCGCTTCAGTTCACTTTCTGGCAAAACTGGTCTCTGGTTGACGGTTGCTCTGCAAAAGGGATAATTTCTTGGCACTATTTAGTAATGAATATTCCCGAGTGACCAGGAGAACTCAGAATGTGTCTGCTGTCTTGCTCTTCTCCCCTTCCCTGCTACTTTGCCTTGAGTGCTGGGGTCATTTTTGTAAGGACCTAACACAGTGACTCCTTGTTTACACACCATCCCTCTTGCACATATAGGCACTTCCCGTGCCTCGGGGCGGGGTGGGGGGAAGAATCTGTTCTGAATGTAGTAGTTTTGTTTTAATTAAAACACAGCACTCGATTAATGAGATGAGGAGTGTCTCAAACCAGGTGATGTTCAAGTCCGTGTTTCCGTAAGCATCTTTAGCACTAAGAGCAGCCAGGTCGGTGCCAGTGGCAGTCGGTGTAATTCGTTAGGGTGAGTGTTTTCATGTACAGCGCTGCGTCCTTTCGGCATCTCTGAATTACAAAAGCAATGCAGAAGGAGGGTAGGTTAAAATGGTTGACCTATATCTCTTCTCATATCGTTTATCTATGTATATGCGTCTGTATTTAATGTAGCAGCATACTACTGGAATAACTTGTAGCACTGGATCTTGTCATATGCAACTGAGCACACGTACGTATTTTCCAATCATCCACACACTGATATTTGTAGGAACGTACCTAAAATTGTGTGTAGTACTC